ATCGAACTTTTGATCTAGTGATCAACGATCAGGAGCCCATCATTTTCAAGGCGAGTTTTCGCGGACTTAGTTTTAAAGGGAACAAGGTCGTTGGCTAAATCAAAGCAGAAGATGGACCAGTCTTTACGATGAGGTACGATATTTATCTGTACGTAGTAAGCTAAGATTTCCGGGCAGCCATATTCAGATGATAGCATATTCTTATGTTGGAATGTATTTTTGGTAAGAATAATCTCCCGCTCTGCTGATTTTGCTAAACAAAGAACTTAATAGGTTTCTTTTGTTTCCTATTTTAACAAAAAAAGGCCAACGCATTTTTTGCATACATTTTTCTTGCAAAATAAGCTAAAACTGGCAAAAAAATGCAGGGCAAGGTTTTTCTGTTGTATCAGAGGCCACATAGAAAAATGTTTAGCTGATTTAGAAGAAAAAAACATCCAGAACGTTTGTTCACAAAGTGTTATTCCAAGCCCTTCATTATTGAATGATATTTGTAGTTTAGTCTGTATAACCTCTTTATTGAAAATATTGCCTGTTTTTAGCTTTCAGGCATATTCTTGCAGTTCATTTCAATTTCAACCTGCACAGGGACTGCACTGGTATCACAGAGATCAGGGTTGGAATCCCTGTAAGCCTGAATGTTTTCAGGCTTTCTTTTCACAACTGCATAAGTTGTGTATTTGACTGTAGTGATCTTTTCTGTTTATAATTTATTATGTAGATTATTTTCTATAAAAATTGGAGAAAGGAATGAATTTTGTGGAAAAAGGAGTAAAGATTTTCATCCTCACAACCCTTTCTATCACCTTTAGAGGAGCTGCTGAATTGTACTGTATTCAATTTACTTTTTTTCCTAGTTCATGATGAACCAGTTGCAAGCACGAGTTCAAATACAAGAAAAAGGGAAAAAAACCCAGAAAACTCCCAGAGATGGCCCCAAGAAAGCTCGCTATTGCTCTGCATGCAAAAATCCCATGAAAGGACACAAGAATATTAAAGACTGTCCAAAGAATAAGAAATAGGGCTAGAAGTTTAAAAGCCATAGTGAATATTGTCTCTGTTGAGCTTCTGTAGGGAACTATTCTTGTACAAGTTTTGAGTTATACTACATATATACATGTGTGTATTGTGATTGAATTGTGGTCTATGTATATACAGACAAAACTGGTCAGCTATATCTATCCTTTTGCAATTGAAATCAGAATTCTCGTACAAATTATCCATAGCCTTAAAGGTTGGTTAGCAATAATAACTCTTTAAGGAAGCTTACCAGCAATATTAAATAGAAGTCAAAGGATTTTGGTGGGAAATAAATTGAAACCAACCAGTCAGCGGGCTGTGTGTATACTGTAAATCCTCTATTAAGTCCCCCCCTTTTCAGAGTAGGAAAGTTAATAAGCCCCCCCTCCCCCTCCCCCAAGCCTTATTCTTCACAAAACAATTAACGATTAACATGGACTGATCAGTTATGGTTTATTCAGGCTGGAAGTTCATATTGTTTTTGGTCTTCGGCCACATGACCTCCAACTTCATATGCTTAACTTTCTCAACTTTGCGCTCTAGTTCTCTGTGGACAATTGTCACCATTTTCTTATAGTATTATAGTATCATAAATTTCAAGGCTGGTTATATAAAACATTTAAATGTAAGAGATAAAAAATGTAAATATAAGAGGAGTTTTCCAGAGATTTTCGTTTGTAAGTTGTGTACGACAAATCAATACAAGTAACCATTCTCATAAAAATTACCGAAGAACATGAGGCCGAAAGCACATTTTTGAAGAAGAATTTTGTTTTTGTTACTTTTAGGCTCCCACAACTGAATTAAATACTTTTGACAGTGACTGTAATTGTACAACGCATTAGTCTACTCTGTCTCATACCACGGTATTTTTGCTCAGGTGATGCGTTTTGCTAAATTAAAGAAGCCCCCCCTCTCTATTAAGCCCCCCCTCAAAAGTGCTTGAAAAAAATAAGCCCCCCGGGGGGGCTTAATAGAGGATTTACGGTAGTTGTGTCTAGAACTAGGGGATTTGAGGACCTGACCTTCTCTTATCAGTGACACATCTCCTGATCTCTCTTTCTCTCGTAACAAGGGGCTATAGGAGATTGCTCTTTTTCATAATGGAGAGGAAAAAAGTTTTGTGCCAGCAGTGGCCTCTTTTGGCGGGCAAAAATAAATTTTCATTGCATAATGACTTTTTTATTATTTACAACGAACACCCCTGGGGTGGTACTCAACAAATTTTTATGTGGGGAGGTTCCACCCCGAGGTCCAACTCCTTACCCTTTTATATACCATTTTTCACGAAAAAGGTGCCCCTTTCGTATACCTTCAATTCTATTGACATTTGGTACCCCTTTCACATACCTTGTTTAGAACTTTGCATCTCTTTTGACCGCTTTAAATGAACTGTCTTTTAAATTGGAATCAATCACACAAATAGAACGTTTTCTTGACTTTATAAAGCCATAAAATTCATTTGTGAGCCCTACTAGCCATTTCACAGACCCAAATGATAGATTTCCCTACCCTTTCATATACTTCAACGAGTAAAATCCCTACCCTTTCATATACTGAAGCCAGAAAAAGATACCCCTTTTAGGCGGAGCCTCCCTTTATAGGCTATTATGGTGAGTACCCCCCGGGCAAACACCCCACCTGTTGATTTATCACTAGTTCTTTTTTATTACATGCTTAGTGAAATTTATAAAATTGTATATCAAAAGGAAAAAAAATAGTGGTAAAAGCTACAGTTCAAAATGAATCTACTGTTTACGTCAACAAAAGATGAAGTAAAACAGACAGTTAAACAGATGATCAACAATTTAATAACAGAATAATTTACAAGGGAAAAAGCCTAAAAAGTTTACTTAATCATCTTCGTCGAGTTCGAATCCAGTGTAGGTTTCATCTCTGCCGACAGGAAATTGTTTTCTTATTTCCGTGTAAGCATACGCAGGAAGAGGAATTCGCTTGTAGACAAGCCTGGAAAACTCCCTGTAGGCAATGCTACGCAAGTAACTGTAAAAAAAAAGACAATAACAAAAGTATTTAATTTCGGCTGGACGATGTATTAAAGAATTTGTATGTTTTCAAATCGAGTGTGTACCATATCGATCGTATTTGACTCCAATGCGGTACAAAAATAACAAAAACTATCTCACCTTTCTTCGGTTCCAGTTTGTTTATATCTCTGTTTGGCTTTGGTATTGACACGTTCGCCAGCCATACGTAAGCTTCACTTTTGAAGGCAGACAGGACCAAAACCAGGATGTTGTGTGATACACCTTAAGGCCGTTTCGAGTTGAATATCTTCAAGAACACTTTCGCTACACATGGCTTCTTTGCAACCAACTACAGCTCCTGGCAGCAGTAGCACTCGCTCAAATTCTGACGGACAAAATTAACACGGCTGCAGTTTCCACAGGAACACCTGTAACAATCAAGGTAGCTAGAATCATACAAAAATAACACTTTTTGCAGCGACAGCTAACAACTCTCATCATACATTGCAGCAATCACGCCGCCAAACAAGCAAGTACTCGATTATTTACATAAGCTTTTACCTCGATCTTCACACGATCATACTACAAATTTGCCGACACTCACCAAGAATCCACATGAACTGATTCTTCAAGTCTTCCCCGTAGTTCTTGCTCTAGCTCATTTGTTTCATCAACTTCTTCTTCGTGCTTTTTTAGCTATTCTTCATCAGCATATGCAATGTCATTTTCCAGGCTTTCACATGAAACTTGCGACTCGCGATCACTTTGTTCATCTTCCACTTCGGCCAGATTTGCCTCAGAATCTTCTGAATTAAAACTTCTCTCAGAACTTGAATCACTTAAAGACATATTCCGTTGAATTTTTGTCGTTTTAGTATCCCGCTCGCTTAGAATCAGTTAAAATGATTTTCCCTTTCTCGCTTCTCGGTCATTTACTCATGAGTTCGCGGCAAATGTCCTCCTTCGATGACGTCACAACAACATTCGTACCCAGCTCCCACGAACCTCGGTAATGGGACACAAGAGACCTAACTTTAAACAGCCATGGAAACGCGAGGATTTTGTCAATCACGATAATTTTTTCGCAAAAGTAATCAGAAAAATAAGGAGATTTCATTTAGCGAAAAACATTTTTGGGGGTTAGTTGCACTTTAACACGTAATTTTATTTTGGCCTACAACTTAAGCAGAAACAATGAACTAAAAACTTCGTGACTGAAAAAAAGGGTAAAAGTCGATGTTCAGATGGTGAGAGAATACTTAAATGTGATTATGTTGTCGCTGGGAATTCTAATCCTGCAGTTGTACCACTTGCTGCTGTTATATTCAATCATAAAATAGTGTTTAAGAAAGTAATTGAAAAAGGTTTACCATTTGAAGTAAACTAGACACACCAGAAACAGATTAAAGCAGTATTCTGTTAAAATAAAGATGTTATGAAGACGAAAACAAGAAGAAAAATCTCACGTTCTCGAGACACCGCCGCACTCAGCTTTCTCACCGTCGCGACGTGCAGACGACGTAGGTTGGACGGCTGAGATATATGCTAATTAGCCCCAAATCGGGCAACTTTTATTTCCGGTTGCCGTACTTAAAAAACAATCTCATGCTGTTCACAGAATACGATCACAGTATAGAAACAACTTTACGAACATAATTGCCTGCGTGATTTGTTTATTCTCACTGGACCAAGATGTATCCTATGGCCTTGATGTGTTTATCGGCCGCTGAAGAAGTGGCCTCGTTTCCACATGTGTTGGTGTCGTCGTGAAGCCCTCCTGTACCAAATCCGATTCTGGAGTCACATTTACGGCAGTCGTTTTCATTGTTACCAAGGATACCGATTCTTGCTTTGGACATATCTTTGTTGTTATGCCGTTGCGTACTCCTGGCATTAAATCCTTCCTTGTTGCAATTTTTCTGCAAGGAGCCCAGAGGACTTATTAGCAACTTCCACGTGTCACGAACCAGTGAAGTACTGCGGTATTGTCCATTAGCAATCAATGAATGCAGGGAACTGGCGTTCTTGTTTATTACAATAAACTTGATCTAGTTGTCAACCCTCATACCGAGGCAGATTTTGGTGAAGGATGTGTTCCAGTATGTGGGAAGCTTGGTTAAAGGTCTCTTTGTTCGACCAAAGGGTAGAATCATAATGGAATTTATTCTGTTAGAGGAAAAAGAAATTGCATAGTGCCAATGAGGAGTCGGATAAAGGGGAGAGCATCACACCCATAGCAGTGTGGTTTCTGAGACGTGGGTACATTTTATCGACCGACAGGATGGACGGATACCTCCTCAGTGCCACTGACCGAGAAATACCGTTGTCACGGCCGATCTTTCATTGTTATCTTTAGAACGGAACTCAGTTTTATTAGAGTTATCATTTTAGCATTTCGAATATGATTTTAAGACAATTACCTTTAAGATCGCAGAAAACCCCGCAGAGATGTGTGTTTATTCAGCCTTGTTACAAGTTGTTTTCAGACCAGGATTTATTAGCAGTAAGAAGTTCCGCTCGTGATTGATGCATCAGTCAATTCCACCTGCAACCAGCCCCCCCTCCCCCCCGGCTGGGTGGGGACTATTGAGCTGTCAAATCCCCCGGGGTGGGCACGAAAAAAGATGGCAAATGCCCTGCCCTCCGTCAACACTGCAACATTTTTCATTGATCGCACAGTCAAATACTGCCATTTTAAGCATTTTAATGTGCGATTTTTTGGTTTCAATTAACGTCTTCCTTTGTAATAGCGCGGAGGATCTAATTAAGACTTCACGCCGCGACGACATGCACCAGTTTATGGTTTTAGTATTGATATAAAATTATTGACGTAAAAATTAATAGAGCGCTGTAAAGTTATCAATTTGTTATGAATAGTTTTATAAATTTCAAATAATATCAACAGAAATTTGATTCAATAACCAAAAAACGTTGATTCACATCGATAGCTCAAATTTCGCTACGTAATTCTGGCTTGATAAGCAATGAAGAAATGCATACATACATATAAAATCGAGAACATGCCTTTACAACCCTCTACAATTTATTCCTGTCCTTGAAGGATAAGCCAATCTGCATTTTTTCCAGTAAAATCTTCTCTGTAGTTATATTCTGATAGGAAACCGCGTGCGTGTCAAAAGCTCGGGAATGGCCCGGGGGTTGGCAAATGCCCGGCCCCCGGGCAGTGCAAAATTTGCAAATGCCCCGCCCCCGGGACTGACAAGGCGGGCAAATGCCCCGCAGTAGCCCGGGGGGGCTGGGCGCAGGTGGAATTGACTGATGCATAACCTTAGGTGGAAAAATGCAAGGTGCTTAAACATTAGTTTCTTGAACGTCTGTCTCCTATGAACTTATAGTGTAAACACCCATCTAGAAGGGTATTAGTCATATTCAGCACAATAATCTAGAGCAACTGAAGTGTTCTCAGCTACTTTACCATCCTTTGTAAGAGCTTGTTCTCATAATATTTGAACAGTATACATATCTAGACCACATATAAGCAAGCTTGTACACTGTACAATTCGAATTACCTGTGCGAATTACCTGCGAGTTACCACTGTGAATTACCTCTACGAATTACCTCGAAGTGCCTCGCACCAAAAGAGCAAAATTAACTTAGGTCAAGAGAAGTGAACCAAGTTGAATTACTTGAGCTGTCATTGAGTTAACTACGTGAGAAGGTTAAACATATTTCAAGAGTTCCAGTTTTGTTGAAGTGATTTCTGCTTTGCTCTACGGACAAGTAACTAACAACCCAGTGTACCTCTAGCATTGTTCGTGACGTTGACCACTCAGCCCAGCGAGGTCAGTGTTCTACCGAGCTTAAGTCCCATTCCGTCCTTTAGTTATTCGAGCTATCCCGTCGATTATCCCTCTATTTATCCAGCAGATCGCCGCGCATTTCGTGAGTTAAAGACAAAGAAAACCCTAAAAGCCTAACGTCACACAGCGTATGACGCTGGTCTAAATGAAATACTCAAGTTCTTCACTGAGATAACAATTTAGATGTTCACTCTGCTATAAAAAAAAACGGTCTTATTTCAATTATCATAATAAACTTGATGATTTATTATACCCATTTTGAAATCACTGGTGATCCCTGCAATCTGATAGGCTCTCAGCAGTGTGATTTATTCACGAAACACTATTTTTTGCTCTAAATCACATCAGTGTTCTAAACGCGTAATTCATGTTCTAAATCGCTTCTTTTCTGTTTTAAATCGCACCTTTTTCGCTCTGTATCACATCATTTCTGTTTCGAATGCAAAATGAGATGTAAAAGCCTTCTTGTTTCTTCTTTTCAACAAACCGGCTACTTGATCAGTGAACTATTGGAACTGACTGAATTCTGCGATTTCAAAATGGCTGTAGTTAAGTCGCAATTGAACTTCGTATCCTGCAATTTAGGTCCGAAATCATACTAAATGTCTTGTGATTTCAAATGGAACTCGTGCTGCTCGCTCCTTCGATTTTGAAATTACGGGCACTGGCGTAGCCAGCCCATAGACCTGTAGGCCCAGGCCTACAAATTTTTAGTTTGATCACTCTACCGTTTGTAATAAATTATGCCTTGTTGGGGTGAGCAAAAAAGCTTTAAGCTCAAAGTGTTGGTGAGGTCAGTGCGGACTGGTCATGCGTGCAATTTTCAGGATATGTGGAAGTGACAGTCAGCCAGGCCTACTGCTAGTCGAAAAGCTGGCTACGCCCCTGACGGGTATGATTTCAGACCAAATCGCACTCCACTCAGTTCAATAACCATTAATAAAATGGGCAATATTGGAAGTACGTATACATTTTTTCCATCAATCTTCATAACCAGCGTCCATCCACCAACTCCGCACTTGTTTTTTTCAGTAAGAGCCTCGGCCATGACACAATTAATGTCGAAAATGTCATCTCCCAGAGTCAATGGGTAAGCTTTGCTCTCATTTGATCTGCAAGGAACAAAATTATACCTGAATAGGGGAGACTCTATACGAGGAGTAATTACAATAGGCCATTTCCGAGTTCCCCCGGGCCTCTGTTTCAAAACCAGGTTAAGTGCTCAGCCTTTGATATAAAAATCATCTTTCAGTCTCATGCAAATAAAACTCATTTTCACCAGGAAGGTTGTGCACTTGGCCTCATTTTGAAAGTGAGTGTTTTTGGAACCCGGAAGTCACCTATTCAACTGGTGATCGATTGGTACTTTGATTACTGGGCTACCTTCAATGTCCAGTTGTTCGAACGCCGGTTAGCGCTAACCCGGGGTTAAATTTTAAGACAGGTTTCTTTTTCTCTGTTCTCAAAAACACTCTCTCGGATAATTTTCTCTATTCTTCATTTAGAGTATCCATTCATCAAATTATAGGCAAAGACAATTAAACTGAAATTGCTTTTCAAGCTCTCATATTTGAGTTCAAATTTCGCACTAGCCCCGGGTTATTTTAACACACTTCGAACAACCCGGCCCTGGAGACCAGCTTCCTAGCTACACAGATGTCATTCTGACTTGTCAAACAATCCTATTAGATCCTTTTATTGCGTGACGAGCCACAGAACGTCTTCATTGGAGAATACTTGAATTTTGCGACGGCCCTTCTGAGCCCCAACAGATAACTATAAAGCACTTCAGCATCATATACACTACGATTAATTATGCAAATAAAGATGAATGTTGAATGCTTATCTGTTGGTAAACACTACCCATTGCAATGCAAACACATTGATTATTCATTAATGTGAATATTGATGACATCGCGTGCTACGCGTGCCGTATATTAGCTCCACCAAACGTCGTGATTTCAAGGGTCTAAAGCTTCAAAACGTACTGCTTTTTACTCACATTTTCTTTTCAAAGAGGTTTTTGCATGATGAAGCTGTAACAAAAGAAAAGAAGTGAGGTATGATAGATCTATATTTAGTCTAAACTCTTATACGCTATATAGAAATGACGACAGAATGTTCAAAACTCAAGTACAAAGTGTTTTTACGTCATTTATAAGGTCTATTACCGTGTGAGCATCAAGGTCTCTTTCCGGCATGGTTTTCAGCATTTACGAAGTCGTTCACGTTGCTGTCATTACGAAGAATTATCGTTCTTTGTTTTCGTCATAATCATCTTTTTTCTTTATTTTGTTGATTTGATGATTAAGCACTTGCGTACCCAGAGTACAGGTGTAGCCACGCCCCTGATCAAGCGTCTTTTTAAGTCGACATGATAACATGTGATTGACCTGAGATCAGGCTCTATATTCGTTTCTCTTTGTAAATAATATTCCGGCGGGCAAGGCAATACGAAAAGAGAGTTCTACCAAACGTCTGCCGCCCACTTTTTTGATTGATTGACATTTGCTGAATCAGCCAACCAAAATTACTTCCGCTACTTGTTTTTTTAGTATGCAAATTTTTCATACGTGGGAAAACTGCAGACTCGCTGACTTAAAAAATAGCTTTTACCTTTTAATTTTTTAAACTAAAAATAAAACAGTCAGCACAATCACATTTAGCTTCTCACGAGATTAAAAGAGATCCCGAAGGCTATTTCTGTTGGCGTAGAAGGTAATTTTAAAAGTTTTTGAAAAGACGGCGACGCGATGTTCTAGTTTTAATATTTTGGCTAGGCGCACTCGAATTTAAAATACTGAAATTCTATGTTTCTGTTGCCTTTATATTTTCCTCGGCAATTTTGCCCGATTTTCAGTACTTTAATCTTTAAAAATCGTGGAGAAATAAATCGCGAACTTTTTCAAAGGATATATAAATTATCTCAGAACAAACCAAACGAGTTCTAAGTGCATTTAATTTAGCTGATTTAGTCCCGTGAGTACCCTTGCAATTTGCGAATTTGCTAGAGAAAAAAACATCTAAAAAATATATTTTTTTATAAATCCAGGTAAATATTGTCTGCCAATTTGGAAAGACGAAACGACACTACTAATAATGCATGCTTAACTGACCTATAAACAAAACGAAAAACAATATTACAAACACACTTTGTAGTTCTCTTCAGTTGTGTTGTTGTTTTGCTGCAGGTCTGAAAAGCTCGCTAAATTCATGACTCGAAATTAACAAACAGCCAACGAGGGAGGACACCGGTTTTCCTGGTTTATTTTTTACAAAAAGCGAAGGCAAACAACTGAGTCTGTTACCTTGAGACCAGCGCCACTAGCTTATAATAATGCCTACAAAAAATTCCTTGAACAGCGATGCCATATTTTTCTTACGATACTTCACAGTTGGCGATTGAGGTTTCTTTCGCAGAGAGCCTCCGCTTGCGTACCCCGTTCAGAGAAGTCATTCCCGGCTAAACTTCCAAATGAAAACAGTTTTAAGATGGACAGTATTTTGATTTGTACTTGTTGGTTGGTAACTCAAAAGGCACATTCTACAGATTGTTCGCGGTCAACAACTTGCAGAGAGATTCAACTCTGCGATACACTCACATTAGTTCCGTAAATAAAGCAAATCCTGAGAAGATATGAACAACCATCTGAATTTTCTAAATTTCCATGGCGCATATATTTACTAAGGCATATTTTCCTACTATAAGACCATAAAACAATTAAAAAAAAGACAACAAAATCGATCCTAATCTCTCCGCCGACGGCTGATCATTCGCGGAAAAAACCACGAGAGGAATAAGCGCTTTCAACTTCCGTTGACTCCAACAGCCAATCAGATCTTGTGGCATTGTTCTAACAGCCAATCAGCGTTGCGGAGAAAATCTGGCCGCAGTGAGCACAAACTTGTATCAGGCCCAATTTTAGAGGTAGCCGTTAGAGAGAATGTACGAGAACCGCTAAAATTGGGCCTGATCTCAGGTTAACACGAGATTAGCCTAATAAATCACCTGGTTCACAATTCTTGCCATCTCCATAATACCCCGGATGACAAGTGCAGCTGAATCCTCCCTTGGTGTTATTGCAGTAGGCGTTAGGACCGCACTTCTGTGCATTTTGTGCGCATTCGTCAATGCCTAAAACAGCACATTATAGTCAACAACAGTAATATTGGTCAAAAGAAATTCGAGAAAACCAAAAGGTAGAACGAACTAAAGGCTGATATTTGGCTAGTGAGCATTTTGATCTCATTCTTTCTGCATATGTCAACCTATCGCATAATTTCACAAATCTAGTTTTTGGTGCAAATTTGCATAAAACCTTCTTAAGATAAGAGAGCTCTTAACTTTTGTTCTGGAACAATAACCTGTTTTTTTCAAATAATAGTTACGAGTTCCTTAATCTTGAGATGTTTTTTGCAACCCGACCCTGGATCGTAAACGTTACAATCCAAGCCAATTTCACAAGGATCTGTATGGAGAAATCAGAGCAAACCGATGCTTATATCTCTACACTAATTTGCACCAATAATTGGCTGATTTTTCGCACAGGGGGCTTTTTTCACCTCATTCTTTCTAAATATACTAACAAATCCCATAATTTCACAACTTCTCTTCTCTATTGACTAAGCAGTTTACACGGAACATACATTTATTACAAGAGATCTTCACTCACGTCGAGTCTCGACCTAAGTTCTTTGGCGAATGCGGGAAAGGTCTAGGGCAAACCAGTTGGTTATGTTACAGTACAAGTGAGACCGAGGAGCAGAACGTAGGGCTACCGAGAACAGCTCTAGTAAGTAGGCAAAAAGGGATTTGGAACCCAGGGAGACTGAGTTGAATTTCAACGTCCCAAACCACTCGACCAATTGCTCAGCCATTGCAAAGTCAACCAAGAGCCGGCAAAGGCATGCATGGCTATCATAGCCAACGAAAAACACGGCTGTTAAATCGCTGGAAAGTTTAAATGAAGCACCCCGAAGAAACTGGAATTACTAGAAGTAGTTGCGGAAAACACGGGCATGCAAGAACAAAATTGAAACAACAATTTAGCTGAGACCAGACTGAACCCAATTTCTTGGATCCCCACGGGTTGCACTTAACCGTGACCATTAGTGTATTGAGTATCGATGATCCTTGATAAAGTTACCTGAGATTTTTTTTTTCGTTAATGCCCACCTAAAGCAACAAAACTATTTCCAAATCAACAGCTTTGCGTAGAGAAAACCTGTCCCCCAGTTCTAATCAGCTTCCTTCAAACCGCAAGGGATCAGGCTTTTTTTTCAAGACACAAGCCAACACTGCTTCTATAGGGGGAGGGGGAGGGAAAAATCGCTACGGCTACAATGTTTAGAAAAATGCTCTCCAAATATGCAATTTTATCAAGAGTTTTGTCCAAGATTAAAGGTTATTCCACCAAAATCTAAATAGATCTAACATTATTAGAAAGTCAAAAATCCATGAGCCGGAATTAGAAGATAATTTGGTATTTCAGGAAATTCTATCTTATTTTGTAAGAAAACTTGGAAAAATTCTGGTGAAACTGCCCCTTATTTGCTTTAACTTACCGTTCTCACAGTCCTCCCCTTCAAATCCAACAGGTCACAAACAGCGATATCCTTTACCGGTAAAACCGGTTTGACAGGTTGTTTTGTTCTTGCAAGGTTTTTTCGCACAGGCATTCTGGGAAACGAAAACGAAAACAAAAATCCGTTGTACTTCCTTGACTAACTTAAAGTTAAAGGATCCCTTTAACAAACATGAATTGAAAATGAATTTTAGCTTTTCTATACTGGGATAAATCCTGATCTACCTTAGCTCCAGAGGGTATATAATTTGGATTTGACTCCTGCATATTTTCCTCCACTTCTTTTAAAGTGGAATTATTCAGCTCACATTTCCTTGTGACTTTGTTAAAGTTGTAACTGACGCAGTTTGGTTCCATGTAGCACAAAGTCCGGCAGGATCTTTCACCAGTGACGTCAACAGTACGAATAACGTGATTTTTAAGGCGTTTTCCGTCAAAAATGTGGTTAAACTCTAGCTGATGACATTCACCTGACAGAAAACACAAAATGAATTGAGTACGGAAAAATAGAGTGACGTTCAATGCGAGACCTGTGTTATTGGTATGTGTAATCAAAATGGTGACGAGTAAAATAAGGGAAAAATTTCACAAATTTACCATTTGAGTACCTATTAAAATAAAAACCACTGGTGAAAAATTACGCTCACAATCGTATGTTTTATTTTACTAGTTTATCCGTCGAGAGCCAAATCTAATGCTGTCTTTTAAGGCCCTGACATCTTCATTCATAGTTTCAGCCAGTGGTATTTCAGCTTAATTTGAAATACCTACATGAAAAAAGTACAAAACTTTTGCGAGTAGTAGTATAAACAAATAATATAGAATGACTTGTACGTGACAGTATTTGGCATAAATATCACTCGTGGTCAGCCATATTCATCCTATTACCTATACAAATTTCGCGCCAAAATTTAGGAGTAATTTGTCACCCATGTTATTATTTAGTAAATTATTGTAAAAAGGGCAACGAGAAAACTTTAGTGAAACTCTATAGGGAAAACAACCAAATTAGATCAGAAATATTTGTTTTTGTTATATAGATACTGATGAAATACCAGGATTTTTCCTTTTACTAAAAAATCATATCTTCATATTTTTATCTTTCACGTGGAGGATATTGGTGTCGCCATGGTTACTAACATCATTAGCCAATTAGAAGAGAGCTTCCCGCTCAGGGCCGGTTCTTTTGAAATTTCATTCACAAAATGGCTACCCCCTCCCCTTTTTACGCCTGCCACGCGGACTAGGCTTCGAGGTGCGAAGACGGTACAGTTACCGGTGACTTTCTCGATGAGCTGCCAAATTTTCAAGCTTTTTCAAATCGATACTTTTTCCGAGCTTGAAGAACATTCAGGAAGATTTGCCGAAAAAAAAAAGTTGTGTTTTATGTAGGAATTTCATCAGTATCTATAAAATAAACAGAACATTACATGGCCGCTCGGGGATACGAATTTTATCTTCTCGTGCTGACAGATGCTTTCAGCACTCGAAGATAAAATTCGCATCCCCGCGCGGCCATGTAATATCCTCTATATCCGCGCCACAGAAGCAACAAAGAAATGAATTACAAAAACAGGTTCGCAATATCAGAAGCGTTCGCATGCCAGTTTTAAGCAACCAAACAGCAATATGGCATTAGCTACAACTTTGAATAATACAAGTTAAAACTAAAAGATAATACAGTCTTAAAATTTTTCATCCCTGTTTGTACATCCTTAAGCGCAAGAAGTTCAGTGGCAAGTTTTTTCGAAGTCAGTTAAAATAAAACTGAAACATGGGATTTATTTATCAGTTTTTAGTTAAAGCTAAGACAAATACAAACAGAACATAACAGAACTGAACAGGAACAGAATAAGCAGCCGTTTGCAAAATCCGAGTGACTTCAATACCCAGCGCATACTCAACAACCGACAGTATACGTAATTACTCTAACTTATTAATTTTCACTACTATCATTCGAAAAGAAAAGTGACTGAAATGTGTTATCCTTCAATTCCATGCCAATAAGGTTAGTTAATGAAGTTATTGTCAGTAGTCGGTATTGAAAAGGTAGTAGTTAAGCCATATTTAATTAAAGACGCGTTGATATAACAGACTTATAATATATTAAATCATCAGACATTCCTCGAACTAATAAAAGACAACTTTTCCAGTTAACCATTTGTAAAATGTTCAAACGTTTTAAGCTGAATGAAAATAACATAAAATTACGTGCTAAACGCTTATTAGTTAAAAAGATCCTTGACACTCTCAGGTGGCACAAAACCCCTATATTGATTCTGTCCTGAGTCAGATGAATAACTAAAAATAGCTTTCAGCTGTATTCAGTGCAAACCTTTCTTCAACCTTTACTTTGAACAAATCTATTTGCATTTGTTTCGCTAACTAACCTGATAAACGTCATAAGTTTATGTGAGCTAGCTTGGCAAATTGGCTTTTATCGCTGGTTAAAATACCAAGTGTTTTTAAGTCCACTTTAACTTTTAAACTGTTCAAAGTTTCTTCCTATCATATTGACATGTGAAAAATTCAGGGGCACCCAACGTCAATTTTCGGAAAATATCTGTTCGGAAGATGATTTGAGATCTAGAATTTTCGGAACATTTGTTGTAAAATTTCTTGCTTGCCTGCCTGTCCTAAGATTTTCGAACATCTAAAAAATGGTATAATTGCCCATTTTTAACCGATTTTTACCCTAAAAAGGTCACCTAAAATTTTTCGGGAACCTTTTTTCTGGCTGAAATTTTCGAAAAGGTAAGTTTTCATCTCTATAATTTTCGGATAACTAGACTTTCAGCTAGGAAATCCGAACAGATGAAGAGTTTTTAGGGGATAAAAATATGCCCATATCTACCGTTTAAATACTAAAATACGTTTAACAATGCTATGTTTAAGTGGTTTTGAACTATATTCTCGTTGGGTGCCCCTGAAAATTTTTTTTTTTATAACTAACCTCCAGCTGGACTGCAGAATTGTCCGTGAACCGGACATAACAACTCAGTAGCAAACCAGAAAATAAGAACAAATAACATAATGACAAATGCTAAAATATTTTTTCGAAAGTTTGAAAGAACTCATGCACACCTCCACAAAGGTTCTGTAACAAATTCAACCTGCTGAGTGCCTTTTATGACAATAAGCTGTTGGACGTCAAGCTTATTGTTCAAAGACTGAAAGGTAACGCCCATTGGTAAATAAACTATTTATTCACCAATGGGCGTTACCTTTCAATCTTTGAAATTAAGCTTGACAGTTTAAAGTTAAATTTTTCAACCTTCGTAATTTTTTTCCTGCTTTAATTCATTGTTTTGATGGATTTCTTCAACTTCTTCCTCCTTGCAAATGGAACAGACTAAACATTTAGATTAGTCCCTTTCTACACATCCCCATAACTACATGCCTCTAAAGAAAATCAAAATGAAGCGTTTTTGAAGAGTCCATCTGACAAACCCGTTAAGAAATTAACTACACGATGGAAAGAAAATAGCAATATCAGTTTCAAGTCAGGGCCCGCAGAGCAGTTTTCAAAGTGCGGGGGCTGATCCACCTCTTTTGAAGTGTAGTGGGGCGGGGGGAGATGGGGGTTGTGGGGTTGTGGACTTTTAAAACGGTTTACCTGGTGCTGACTCGATATTTTTTCATAAACTTAAAACTCATCAATCATTTGTTTTTAATAGTTTAATAAACGAAAAAAGGGTTAGTAACAAAAAAAGGTATAACCATGCACAGCAGCATCATAATTTTCGCGTGTTTCATTCACTTTCCAAGTTTGCTCGTTCTCTCCTTGCTGCTATTTAGGACCTTTCTTTAACCATTGTTGAACGGGACCATGTTTTTAACCTTCGAGCTGCCGAAAAGGACCGTTTTTTCCCGCGGTGGTTACAGGATTTGCCAGCAGTAGCTTGCAAATCGGGAAAAATTCATTTATCATGCTCTACTGAGGTATTATTCCTGAAACTTCTTCATGTTGTCTACAATGTCATCGAGTTCAATTTGTTTTAAGAAATCGTAGCTCCGAGGATATTTAAGAACCTTGATAAAAAAAGACTTTATTGTTTGTGCGTATACTACATCACTTGGCTGGTGAAAACGCAGAAGTCTACGACTAAGTGTAGTTTTGTAAAGATAGCCATTTTGAAGCTTACGATAGTGATATGGGATCGAAACGGACCAATCATAAATTTGGATGCTTTGGCGAGGTCCGCCAGTCTGATATTCTTATTCCATCGAAGATTTCTTTTATTAAAAAATGTATATTTCTTAATTTTATTTTTTTTCAAAAAGTGGGGAGGCCCTGCAAGTGCCATTAATGACACCTACAAATAGGCGGTCAATAAGCAGTCATTAACATGACAAGACAATATTAGCATCACGACAGGGGAGGGAAAAAATTGTTTGTTTTTTTTTTTTTCTGTTTTACCTAACGCCCATTATCAATTCATGCTAAAAATTTTTTTTTTTTTTTCAAAACTGTGAAGTTAAATAGAATAAAGGCGGACAAAACATTATACCGGCTAACGGGGTAAAAGCAGAGCGGCCGTTAGAATTAGCAAATGCTAGTCCAGATAAGTGACTTAATAAGTTTTCTCCTTAGCACAAATTTTCGGTGGACTAAATTCCCGTGAAATTTGTTTCTCCGAAAAAAGAAAATTTAGAAATTAGCTACGTTAAATTAAAGAAATGATTAATAGAAAAGTTGAAATGCGACAAAAACTGGATTTTCACTTTTCATTGGTTCTGTTTATAAATACAACTTTTACTAGGCCATTATCGTATGACCACATCACTGCGAAAATAAAGGTACTGTTCTAGCATGGTATTCTGGAGGTAGGTATCTAATCCTACCTCTTACCCTTAAGGTAGCTTCAAAATACAGTGACGTAAGACTAGTCAGGTAGCTACAAAGTACATTTTTTTACATATAAAAGATACTCCTCCTACCTTACGACCTGTGGACGCATTTCCAAGTAGGCTACGCCGAAACACATACTAGAATTAAGCTACTTATGTATTCAAGTTCTTAATATGGCACGTAATTATCTTTTCCCTGAACAATAAAAGTAGTAAATAAATATATATGCATAATTGCGGTGTACCGCAAGGGTCTGTTCTTGGGCCTCTGTTATATGTTTTGTACACCTTACCAGTGGTTGATATCATAAAGAGACACAATCTTACATACCATCTCTTTGCTGATGACACTCAGCTCTATGTGTCATTTAAATTAGGAAGTGATGATCTTCTCTCCTCAGCAAAAATATGTGTACAGGAAATCAACAATTGAATGATTCTTAGTGGTCTTAGGATAAATGAGCTGCTTCTACTCAGTTCACGTTATCGGCCCAGTCTTTCATTGTAATTTGTTCGTGTATTTTTATTCCTATTGTTGTAATTTATTTGTATCTTAATACATTTTTTGCAATATTGTAAAGCGCCTAGAACAGCTAGTGATATAGACACTATAGAAATAAAGTTTA